TCATCATATCATCCTATTACATGTTTTTCAAAATACTTGTTGGTCATGCCACAGGTGTGAATAGTGAATTCAAAATGCCAAATGCACGTTCTACGTCTCATCTATATCCTTCTTACTTCATTTCAAATAACTTTTTGGGGCCATGTGAATCATGAATTGTTTGTATGAGTAGACAATTTTGAGTGTATACAACCAACTAAATAATAACACATATTACATTTTTTTTCCCTTAAATGACATAATGAGTGGAAGTTGCAATACCTTCGGCGATGTTGATTAAAAGATGGGATGCCTACAACACATTAATATTATTGTTTGAACCTGACAAATTAATATAGCCATGCCATAATTAGCTACAACCTCAAGGATAATAGTTGGGAATCCATTATGATGGTCTAAACTACCCAACATTCCTGAATAACCATGTTGGACAAATTTTTCACTTCCAGTGCATACAGTCTAGACAATCCAACATTGCTAGAAAATCACGTTGTTTATCAATATGGAGTAGCCTCGCAACTTCATTTGTTTTAAGTGATCTTAAATACTACTCTATAAATACATCCACAACAACATGACAAAATCTCTTCAAACATTAAATTATTGTGAATTTTCCCTCTAAACTACCCAACATTCCTGAATAACCACGTTGGATAATTTTTTCACTTCCAGTGCATACAGTCTAGACAATCCAACATTGCTAGAAAATCACGTTGTTTATCAATATGGAGTAGCCTCGCAACTTCATTTGTTTTAAGTGATCTTAAATACTACTCTATAAATACATCCACAACAACATGACAAAATCTCTTCAAACATTAAATTATTGTGAATTTTCCCTCTAAACTACCCAACATTCCTGAATAACCACGTTGGATAATTTTTTCACTTCCAGTGCATACAGTCTAGACAATCCAACATTGCTAGAAAATTAGTTGTTTACTAATATGGAGTAGCCTCGCCACTTCATTTGTTTTAAGTGATCTTAAATACTACTCTATACATACCTCCACAACAGCATGACAAAATCTCTTCAAACATTAAATTAATTTTTCCATTTTAATGTACCCATGAGTACTATCTGTTGCTATACCATATAACAACATTCTTCAACTGGGGCACATTGATGGAAATTTCAACCATTTTATGACCAAATTCTTTTTTCTTTTTTCTTTTTTTGCATAAAGTAGTGTCATAACCTTTCACGACCTTAACTATACATTAGATAAACTTTGAGACATTCGAAATCGTCGCCAAAGCATCACTTGATTATAATGTAGGTTTTCAACAAAATAATCATAGAACGGAATTCTATCAACATATTCTCGATCACGATTGATCATTATATGGCCAGGAATTAAGCCTCCATGGGCCTAGTTATTATGTTGGTTGAGATAGTGAGCTGAATAAAGGTTGTTGTTGGAAGATATGTGAATTATCGCTTCTTCTTTTTTGCATCATCCACTTCAAGATTATCCATAAATTGTACTTCCGAAAAATGAAGAAGAAGCAGAAGATGATAAATAAGAGGGAGCTCCAAGATTAAAATTCATATTTGATGATAAAATTGGATGAATGAGTTTAAGAAAATTTCAGTATACACTTTTATCATTATTGAATACAATATTCTAGAAAGATAAAATGTGCGGATTGTTACATATTGACCATTAGATGAATTTTGTCAACATCGCCACGTACGATTAGTTTCCAAAATCTTATGTTCAATTTCATTCGTATCTTATGAGATAAGATAAATGGACTTTTACATCTTAACTGTGGGAGATTTCATCAACATCTCCACCATGTTATTAGTTTTCAAAATTGTATCTTCAATTTCCTTTATTTTATACAATAACAAATTTTAATTTCTATTATATCCTTTTATTGCTTAATGATTTAATTTAATTTATTATTTTTATTAACATTTGTAATAAATTATAGTCGAATAATATACAATAACTACAGAATACATTAAAATAAAACTACTCATTAAAATTCAAAAGTTACAGTTTGACAATTACAAATAGCAAGAAATTAGTACTAGATCAACATAAATATTGAAAACTGAGATTTACGTATAATATAACATAAACTAAGACAATAATTTAGCATTTTGGTCTATTACTTTCGTATCCTTCAAGACAATCAAAATATTGACCAAAGGACAAGAGGTACTTTTAAATGCTTAGCCTTGTTGTTTAGCTCTTTTTGCATAATTATTATATATTCATTTCGAAAAAGCTCACCTAGATTTGAATGATCCGCTGGGGAATTCAAATCCTTTAATAAAATTTTATTCTCTTCTTGGTATTATCATGGCCAATTTTTTCAACTCATTTTGAGCTCGTGGCATTTAGATTTGGTATATTTATTGCTATTCTCACTTTCCTTTTTGAAAATTTCAGCGAGATAGTTTAAATAATTTTTGTATTTCTTCATCATCTTCCTTCATAGTTTTTCATTTTTTACCCGTCGTTGAGTTGAAGCACCATCAAGATTTTCTTCATTCATATTAAGAGAAAACGAAAACAATCAAGGGAGTGCTGGTGTGGGAGACTTTGATTGTGATGATTCAAAGTTACCATTTGCCTTCGAAAGACTCAACATCATTTCCAAATTTCTCGATATCTTTAAGGCGATGCAGACGTGAACAAATATGAACAATTTTCTTGTAATTCTTACTATGCGCTAACAACTCTTTAGCTCTATTTATTAGAAAATGATATAAATATAATTTTCAAAATTATAAAATATAATAATTATAAGCTTTTGAAGTAACTTTTGGATTAAGATTTTTCACTTGTCGAATGCATTCCCTCCAAATGCCAAATACAGTAAGAATAATTTGCATTCGAGACTCGAAGAATCTTTCACATCGAGCTTGAGCTATAAACTTTGGTTTTTAAGTCTTTATAGTCACTCTTAACTTGAGACCAAAATTGGTCTTTTGATTGGTTTATAGCTATAACCGAAATTTGGGAAATACTTAGATATAGATGACGTAAGTCTTCTTCATCTGTGTATGAATAACTTCGTTGATTTGAGCTCATTTTTAGGAGATCACGAAGAAAGTGAAGAAGAGATTTGAAAGAAAGTGAATGTAAGATTTTGTATGAAAAATGAAGATAAAGTGGTTGAAGTGAAGATAAGAAATAGGAGAAAGTGAAGGTAAGAAAAAATGAAGGCGTAGTATGCTATTTTTATGGTAAAAATAAAGGTAAAATAAAATTTGGATGACAGTTAAGATAAGATTTTGAAAACTAATCATACATTGAAGATGTTGCGGAATCCATCCAATGTTTAATATCTGATAGTCTAGATATCTTAATATGATAAGATTAGGTAAAAATTTAGGATAAGATTTTGGAAAGTAGTCGTGCGATAGAGATTTTGATGAAATTCATCCAATGGTTAATATGTAATAGATCAGATATCTAATCTCATAAAATTCACTATAAGATTTTGGAAACAAACTATTATGGTGAAGATGTTGATGAAATTCAAGATGTAATAATCTAAATATTTTATCTTTATGAAATATTTATTGTATTCAACAATATTGTTTATCGTCCATCCAATTTATCATAAAAAAAAAAAAGGAATTTTAATCTTTAAGGTCACTCTTATTTATCATCTTATGTTTCATCTTCATTTTTTTACGGAGAAAGTGATAATGAAGTACAATTTACGAATAATCTTGAAGTGACCGATGCAAAACAAGAAGTAATAATTCACTTCAAGATTTCTTTCTTTTTTCTTATGCGAACATTACATGTATGATTAAAATTTATTTTTTTTCTATTGATTATATTTATTTTCATTTATCTTTCTCCCTCCCTTATTATTTATCTCTATTTTTCTATTAAAAAAATTAAATTAGATTTTTGTAATTTCTTTTTTCTTCTTTCTTTCATTTTTTTTTTTTTGTTTTGTGAAAAATATTTTTTAATTAAATTATAAAATTTTGTTTTGATTATTATTTATTTAATTAAGGTCTTAAATTTTTATTCTTTAAAACAATTTTTTATTATATGAGGAGGGAAAGGGGAAGGGAAATTGTTTAAACTATCATCTAGTACGTGAGAGTCTCATATTATTATACTAGATCCACGAAAATTCTACTTTACATAAAAGTCTTTAAAAAATCTTTTGAATTTTACGAAAGTCTATAAAAGTTTTAAAAGGAAAATCTATAAAGTATATGAAAGACTTTCAGTAATTCTATACAAATCTATGAAAAATTCATAGAAAGTCATCCATCAAAATCTTCAAAAATCTCAATTGAACACACCCCCCTATGTGATCAATGGGAGCCCAATTTTTTGTCATATAGTGATAAACTATAACCATAAAATTATAGATATAAGTCTATTCAAAGATTATTTTGCCTAGAGCCTACATTATAATAAAATGATGTTTCGTCGACAATAATGTCTTGAAGTTTATTCTTACGTATAGATAGGGCCATGGAAGGCCATCAAAACTACTTTACGAAGAAAAATGATGTGCTTTGTAGACTCGGTTGATAGGAAAATTCGCAACAATTGAATGTTTGAAGAGATTTTTCATGCCATTGCTGAGCTATTTACAGAGAAATAACCAAGATCACCTAACTATAAGGATGTTGCGAGACTACTCTATATTGGTAAAAAAAAAAAACTTGCTTTCCTAAAAAAGTTGGATGGTCTAGATTGTATGTGTATGCGCTAGAAATAGAAAAATTGTCCAACGGCTTGGATACGATAATATGCAAGTCATAGTGGATCCCAAATTTACTATACTCAAGGCTTTAGTTGATTATGATATTTGGATATGGGATGTATATTTTGGTTAATTTACCAAGTTTAAACAATGATATTTATGTGCATCCCATATTTTCGCCAACCTTGTTGAAAGTATTGTTCCTCCCGCTCATTACGTCGTTCAAGGAAAGAATATAAAGTGTTATTATTTAGATGGTTGTAAATGAAAATATATAGTCAATTTCAAGATTTCCTTGCTTGACATAGACAAATCAAGAATAAAGATACTCAAATTGCACTTCAAAAATACCAAACAATATTCTCCAGAGGTGAAGAAACACAGATACAGAGAATAAACACACATTGGAAAAGAACAATGAATTAAACGATAAATACCTGAATGAGAAGATAGCTCTTGCCATCAAATCCATTCTTGATGACTTCGAATGTGAATATAGCATATGGGAAAATAAGCAGCATCTTCCACCAGCTGGGACATATTCCCAAGTTTCACTGCTGGAGTATCAGCATTTACGAATACTTCATCAGTCCCAAATGTGTATAAAAACAGGAAAATAATCAAGAAAATTTGTAGAGAAAATCTTGAAGGAGCCAAGAACCCAAAAATGGTGAAGACATGGCCAAAAAAAGAAAAATGGTAAACCCGCACTTCTAATTCTCTTTTTCGGGCCTCTAGAAAATGCATGTTATATAGATAAAGTGACATACTAAACCATATAATATATGGTGGGCGGGGATGGGGGTGGGAGTAGGGGTAAGGTGAAGGCTCGATTGGGAGGGTTTTGCAGCTTTTAAGAATGGAAAGACAAAGTTCTAGAGATGAAACGGTAAGGATCCTCAAGATTGGGACTCAATCTTTTTTTTTTGTTTTTTAATAGTTGTTCTACAACTGAATTGGAGATTAATTTATTTGATGTCAGATCATTGTCGGCATCTGTAAAACGGGCTGGCTGTTTGTGGTTCATCTATTACTGACCCGTGAATCCGATTTGCTTAATTTGTGTTGTGGTCCTTTCAATTTTTGTCTCCATGTTTTATGTTATATTTTCCTATTACAGCATCTCCATGTGCTATTCGCTAAAACCACTCCCCTCTTTGAAGTACAAAAAAGCATCATTCATTGTCCCATTACCATTTCTCTAGGAAGGACAGAGACACATGCACGAACATGTGAGTGTACTATACGAGTACATCGTTACGTGAGCTTTTGGACGAGGAACGACACAAACACGTGGATTTAAATTTTTTTAAGTATTAGACATTTATCTATTACATTTTTACTTTTACGCCTTTTACTTCTCTAATAGAGCGCTGCTTGTTGAACAACCCCCTCTCTAATATACTACATGACACATAGCATATCACACTTACTTGACTTGTACTTTTAAAGTTTCTTTCAACTGTAAAAAATTTAAACATATTCAAATAAATAAATACCAGGTACATAACTTGGCACACACTTGTTCTAAGAGCATCGGATACAAATTAGTTTCTCCGGTAGAAATGTTCGTATTTCATAGTTATTTGTTCGTGTTAAAGTACAAGGCAATTTGCAATAACTCAATTATAGAAATTATACAACTTGTTACGAATATTAAAGCCAAGAAAATATGACAAAATGAAAAGAATCACACAAGATGTACATGAAAACCAAATTTGGAAATATCACTACAAAGGCAAATAATTCACTATGATCAATAGCAAAGAAATACAAAATGACCTCACAAGACTCTTAAACTATCTCAAAATATGCGAATCTCTCTCTCTATAACCTATACCTTCTCACTTTGACTGTATGCTATATAAAGTTTTGCTATCATATCTCAAGGTTAAATCACATGAAGTATATATAGAAAATCAATACTAGTGTTTCAAATGAAATACAATTCAAGAAATAGACTTAAAATAGAAAAAGAACTCTGGCGAGATAACACTGTCAATCGAGTGTAGGCGAGCTGCGATTGTGGCGCTCGAGCGCCTAGCGCATTGCTTCTCGAACCAAATTTCACCATTTCTTTCGTTATGGGTGCCTAGTGCCCTAGACAAGCGCTTGGGCACTAATTTGTAACATCCCAAAATCAAATCTTCAATTATCCAAAGTCATTTTACCAATCAAACTTTCAATCCTTGATGAATTTTGATCCATCTCAACCAGACTTCCAAACCAAGAAGACTCTTGATCCTTTTATCAATTAACCAATCCAATCCTAATCCCAAATGAATTTGGGTCATACTCCAACCGCTCACGTGAAACATAAATAATTGATAATATTCAAATGTTTGCCTCTATATGTTGTACAAATTGTTAAGAGATGTGTTATCCCACATCGATTTAATACTGAAATAAATATCAATTTATAAAGATCTTGGATTTTTCCATTTAATAAGGTTGACCTTATTAAGATGGGTCTCAAGTCTTAACATGGTATCAGAGGCACCTCGTGAATTTCAAGATTAGTCTGCTCAAATGAGTCACCATCTTAAGGGGGTTTGTTAAGAGATGTGTTATCCCACATCGATTTAATACCGAAATAAATACTAATTTATAAAGATCTTGGACTTCTCCACTTAATAAGGTTAACCTTATTAAGATGGACCCAAGTCTTAACACAAGTGAACAAAAAGAAAGCCAAAAAGTTTGGTTTCGGCATGTTTAGTCCACCTTTATGGTTTATCAAGCTGGATGTTAACACACAGAAGTTGTATGTGTACAAATAAAATATATGGAATCAATGTGACGAATACCCTTTCAATGTGTATTGTTGTTATATTGTCAAGAAAAATTCCACATCCGAGGACCACCCTTAAATTAGAACCGAAAGAAGAAAAAATGGCAGTAGAAGAAAGCCCTTTTTAATGTGGTTTTTTGATCAAAGTACTTACATCCACATGAGCTCCAGTTCGAGCTCTTCGCACTATAAGGATTGAGATTTTAAGCTATACAAGATCACAAGAAAATGACAACTACTAATAGAAAAGAAAAGTGACAATAATTCTACATATGGATTCTTCAGGGACCCAGGACAATTAATCTTAATTCCCTTCGCTATAGCCTCACACAAAGTTTAGGGGTGGTTGATCAATCAAGGGCCGTTTTGTTAGTCTCAAATGACAGGAGGGTGAAAATAGACCAAATCATAATTCTTTGGCTTTAAAAATCATTTAAGTAATAAACTTTAATACGAGTCAATTTTAATTTTCCAAACTCTCTTTCCAACAAAATATCAAATTGCAAATAAACAAATCAACGAGCTATAAAAGAAAGAGTAAGATGTTGGGAATCTACTTAAACTTGCACAACAGAAATAAAATAATTTTCGATTCCCACCAGGAATCGTCTTTGTGTTTAGATAGAAATTGTGATAAAATTCATATATTTTTTCTAGATCTGCAAACTCCTTTGCTTTACTTGCGTTCCAACGACCTTGATCTGTCAACCACAGTTGTCCAATTATCCAGTTTCCAACAGTAATCCTCACAGAGAACGGATTGCAATTGCTAGGGTTTTCTCCTCTTGTGCTAGTAAGAAATTATGAGAAAACTGTATGGATTGAAAACCCTAGTCATGTATTTATATAAGCCCAAATGGGCCTGACCTGGTCCGGTCCTTGAATTAATTAATTCAATTATTTAATTCGGGCCTATAAATAACCAACCCAATTATTTAATTTATCCAACAATTGTTAAATTAATTAATTGACAAATTGCAATCTTCCAATTCTCTTTTGTGTGCGACCCATCAGATTTTCGATCACGATGCCTAACGATATGAAATATTATTTTGATCTAATCAAAATTGATAAATTAAAACACCCTTTTAATTTATCACCAATTCACATTCATCGTCCCAGATTGATATCTAGCAATGTGTTAGGGCAATACATGTGATGGGGAATGTCACGTGGTATGGCAAAATCAAACTCGTTCGTTTACCGTGAAACTATAATCCTTTCGTCAATATGATCCGATCAATTACGAAATATGAAAGTGTGTCAATCTCGATTATCAATCATATCTTTCATTCCACTGTTAAGTAAATATAAATCGAAAACTCCTTTTCGACTTACGAGTACACCTTGACCAAGGATTTCATTATCGACTTAATGAAATGCAAATCATAATATCTTACTATTTAAGAGTGACGAATCATCTATTTGTCATTCACAACCTTCATATGATTCTTGACATGCCTAAACGATGTCGTATTAGCGGCCCTTGGTAGAGAAACATTGAACATCGTCAAAGTATGACTATCCTCATATAAGATACTATGACGACCTCAAGGCAAAGGACATATCCCACTGCAGAACATTAGAGATTAGCCACTGACACTTAGATAGTTATCCATATGGAATCTCTAGGCGGGTCTCCAATGTTTTGTTCTATAACAAAACATCCACGTGTTCATTTAAATGTCACCACACTTTAAATTGTGAGATCAGCTACTTACTTCATAAGTAAGAAATACCACACGTAATGGTTTATCCGTAATAACGATATCCTGTATCTCGTTATTACTTAGGATCACGGACGATTTAAGACTCAATCATACATAATTTGTATTTCACAATCACAACTCCTTGTGATTAACAAATTACAAAGATTTGAATCTACGGATTCTGTTATTTAACTTAATTGTCTATTAAATAAATAGATCTGTCATTAAACTGCATTAATTATATATTAAGAATATTTATGTCCAAGGTTGATTGGACCTAGGGCATAACATTTACATAAGAAACATAAACCGAATGTATAGTGGCTTGGTTCCATCAATGTGTGTCTATGTTCCATAATTTTTTGCCTCAATTCTACTGAAAAATGACAACAATAGCAACAAATTTACTTTTTCTTTTAATTGGTTGGGATATCAACTTACTGCAACAGCAACTTTATTTTCTACTGTGTATTTGGTTCATTGGACTTGTATTTCTTTTATCTATCTTCTATTTTTCATCCAAAAATTATCGCAAAATGTATAACAAATAGTGATTAAAATTTTGAGTCGTGCACGTAAATATCAAACTCCACAGTATGTAAATTTAAGATTTGATGAAACTTCAAATAAAATTTTCTGCAGATTATCAAAAGGAAGATGTTGGTAACGGACAGGTCACCCATGTGAGTTGACCTGAATCATGTAGAATAAAATGTGAGTTGACCCAAATCTTCAAATTAATTATTCTTTGAATTGTGGAATAACTTTCCTCTACCGATAATCAACTACACTATGCAATAACTTTCCTGATTGAATTTCATGAGTGTGGAAGTTGATATTTCTCTCAAGAAAATTACAAGAAAATATTATGTAAAAAATGGTAAAAAAAAAAAATTGAAAGACTAGAAATCATAAATATTCAATCATCTTGGAAAAGGCTTTGAATTGTGATAAAAGAACTCCTTCCATTGTGATAGTGTTTTTGTTGGGTTTTTGGATACCCTATAATCCAGGTGATGATTTAAAACAGTAGTCGAATTATTTATCGACACCATGGACTTGGCTCGGTTCGGAGACGAACTACACTTTTGGATGGCTTGGATTTGGGTTGGATGATTATTTGGTTAGCTAGATCATTTAGTGATTAATATAGAGTTGAAAATTGACCCATTAGTTTAGGTTATATGGCAGCCCACTTAGAGATCTCTTGGCCTGTATTTGGTGACCTAAACTAAACTAACCTATATATTTGTATCTATCTCCCAGCCATGTAGCGCGTGTGTGTGTTGTAGCAATGGATAGGAGAGTTGAGAGAAGAGAGGCAGTCGAGAGAGAGAGGAAAACCATGTAAGGTTGTGAGTGAGATTCAACCATTGTGATATCTTCTTCTTCCTCTCCATACCTTTGTGGATTACTAACACCATCATCCTTCTCCTTTGTGGGGTTAGAGAGAAACAGAGTAGTCCAAACGTGAAGGCGAAAGTCTCGGGTCGAGCCGAGATAAATTGGTGTTCGTTTGATTATTTTCTAAGCCCGGAATCAAGATCTATCAAGGGATT